CTTATGTCCAATGACCTGTCCAAAAGAATACGAATCTAGGACTTCCTTCCTTCATGATCCAACACATCCAGACTTATTTCTAGCACTCCAACGCCCACATCACCCTGTCTCTGCAGTTACATGGTCTCGTTGGATTAAATGGATTATGAAGTTGGTTGGCATCGACATTTCAGCATTTGTGGCACACCTTGTTAGGGGAGCCATGGCATCTAAAGCTTTCTCCCGGGGATGTAGATAAGAAGACCTTCACCAGCTGCTGACTGGTCCCGTGAATCTACTTTTTGAGAATTTTATTTTCGTCCAGTTTCTCATTTTTTTTGACATGGTAGTTTCACAGCTTTGAACTAGCATAATATGAGCATCCGTGTCATTTAATAAAATTACCAGATTTTACTAATTTCATGACGTAAAGTCATGATTTTATTAAGGACACGGAGGCGAATATTATCCCACACGATACAGGTAAGTTGCGCCCTCCCTTTTCTCTTGAGTTTAGTATACGGTCTGTTATGATGTCGCTTTATATTTACCTAATTGAAGGTTCTGTTATGATACTATTCTGTTCATATTGGATATGTTATTATGTTTAATAATGCATCATAGATGTATTTTAATATCCGGAAACACATTTTACCAGCAAGGAGCATTTTTATTGGATGTCATGTTATGTTATTAACCCTTTGAGGGTGCATGTTTGAATTTTTCTAAGAATTTTACAGTATCCTTTTTTTGCTGCTGAGGAATAAAGAAAGAGCTTAAGTATAATACTCGCCTCCGTGTCCTTAATAAAATCATGACTTTACATAATGAAATTAGTCAAATCTGGTAATTATAGCCAAATAAAGTCTGAATGGCATCATGTAGAGTAAAATAACTAATTTGGAGAATTCTACAACTCCGCTATAGTCAGCCATTCAAATTTCAATTTTCTTCAGTTTGTGTGAGTCAGGATTAAATTAGTAACATTTACAGATTTACATATTTAGTGATACCTGGTAGTTTTTAAAAATTATTTTTTTAGATATACAGGGTTATTCTCTAAAGCGAGATTTGCCAGGAATTTAAAGCAAATTCAAAATTTAGGTAAAAAGAGCTGATTTAGAAAATAAAATCTCAAATTATGTGATAAGTCTGGCTATTTCGGCCTCATTAAAAATTCTCTTTGAATTCCTGGCAATTTTCCCTTCAGTAAATAATTCTGCTAGGAATTCACAGCTGTGAGTTGCCTCCAAAGATAGCGACTTTAGCAGTGCCTCTCCATGAACAGATCTTCGGAGATTGACCCTAGTCGACTCGTTTTATCATCCACTCCCTTTCATTGTCTCTTTGAGTTACATTGTTTAATAAGCACCGCTCTCTACAGTTACTCAGGGTGAATCTCACACGTTTTCCACCCAACATCATCATACGGAGGTCAATAGATTATGTATTTGCGATATCGGTTAGTCCTGGAGGATTTTAAAGTGTGAATTCTTCATGGACAATAAAGATGCACTGTTTGTTGTCTAAAATGTTATAAGGTAGCTCATCTCTAGGACAGCAACAGAAATGAAATAACTGAGATAGGAAGGTGTCCTTCACTAGTGTAGATACTTCCTGCACAAAATAACATCCAAATTGTAGAGAAACCTTATTTGCACCCAGTCTGTGCACCACAGCTATCATTATCTTTAGAGAATCCAGTAGAGATGAAATAGTACAAAGATACGACTTTATCTAGGAAATCCAGCCCTGCTTCATCCACTATAGCAGAGGTTGAAAACCTTCGGTAATCCATACGTTTTAGACTTCAACTCTCATAATGCTCTTAGAGCTGGCAAAGCATCAAGGGAGATGTAGTCCACAACATTTGGAGAGCCGAAGGTTGCGGATCTCATAACTCTCTGCTGAGCAGTGTAATATGGGACACGTAGTTCAGCACTCCATTGAATCTAATAGGATGGCTAGGATTGGCGGATTTCAATCCCCTATTAAACTAGGTGCTGCTTACTGCAGGAAACTGCAAATCCAGGGGTTCTGTTGCATTCACAGGAAACTCAATCGTGTATATCTTTTTATTTATTCATTTTAAAAAATAATTAATTTGATTTATTTTGCACCAAAACTGCCATCCTCCTGCTCACAAATGAAGTATGGTAGGATACCTGGCAAGTACTGTTGTAATTCATTATAGGTCTGGTGAGGTCTAGTGATAAATTTTATGGGACACTCTGGGCACCATTACAACTTTAATGCATTTGATAGATTTTGGCCTCGTTAATATGCTGTATTTTTTTGCATGCTCAAATCTTTATAGTGTATAAATGTTTTGTAGAATGCAGCACCATAAGCCGACCTCCTTAGGCACATCCCTTATGTTGAAAGACTTTCTTAATTTAAGGGATTAAACTGTTCTCAAATGGTTTAACCCAAGAGACTGCCAACAACACCGAAAATCCAATTCCTCAACTGGCATCCAGCTTCTGAAATTGAGTCAGCCTTGAGTCACCCTCAATTTATTAAAAATGTATGAATGGGTTTAACCCCTCAAGGTAAGAAAGTGCCCGAGGGCCTCTTGGCACCATAACAACTTAATTTAGATGAAGTTGTTATGGTGACCAGAGTTTTCCTTTAACTCACAGCCTGGCTGCAGACAGTCAGAGAAACTACTAACAGGTAGTGATATCTTTACTATAAGTTTCCCAGGGTGTATTCTTCTAAGGCAGGTTGTTTTGTGTATCAGATCTCTCAGTACTGTCAATAGCTGAGCTGTGTACATACATTTCATAAGGAAGTCTTTCTGGAGTGAGGGGGCATGGCTATGAAGGCAGGCTTGTGGTGCAGCATTCTGCAAAACATTTATTTAATTTATACAAACAATGTAAAGATTTGAGCATGCAAAAATAAAATAAATTAAAAAAATACAGCTTATTAATGAGGCCAATACCTGTCAATTGCATTAAAGTCGTATTAGGGCCCGGAGTGTCCCCACCATGGGGGCAAAAGCAGGACAACAGTGCCATCCAGCACCTTCATTGTTTAACACCTAATATAGAGTCACCAAAGCTGTTTATGTCCCTTGAAACATAGAAGGAAATCCTAGATTCGGACGATGGATGATTTGGAGTACACTCTCCAAGATTTAGGTTAATGCTAACATAATTTACACATCTTTATTGCCTTCATTATCTCTCAATCTCTTCTCCGTCTGTTTTCCTGGCGGTATACTCTAATAAAGAGCCACGTGATTGATCTGAGCTTGTGGCACCCGGGGTTGCGAGTCTTAGTACCCACTCGACAGTACTACGCAGGTATACTGTCCAAAAACATATACAGTGACATTAGCCAGCCATGACAGAATTCAGGAACCATAACTACCGACTGGTGGGGATTTAGGGTTAGCTCAGAGTTTAGTTTAATTTGCCCAAAGTAAAAAAAAAAATATAGCAATTTCAGAAGTGTGTGTTGTTTTTTTTTTTTAACGTTATTTGTAAGAATCTAAAAAGATATTGTGTGTGCCGCAATAGCCACAAGGTGGCGCTAAATTGCTGTTGTATTACATGAAATGCTGGTGCTGGTGTTTGTTGACTCACTAATTACATTTGGACGTGCCTGGATTCCTTGGGCATCCCGGAGTTAATTTGTCATTTTTGGGGGGACAAGGTGGGAGGGTGACAGATCACGAAATGCCATTTTATGAATTATTTCCGTTATTGCAAAGAGTAGGGTGGTTGTAAAATACACAAAACCAGAATCTGCAAATTGTAAACCAGAATTATTTAGCTATGCAGTATGATTCCTAATTTAGCCAAGTTTGTTTTCACCACAATTTGTTGTTTAGAGAGTGAAAATGGGTGATTTCGTCTTCGGCCTGATTGACTAGTTAAACGCAACCCTATAATTCAGAACATTTCAGCTGTGAACACAACGCCTGTATTCTATCCCTTACATTTTCTGACTTTTGGTCGTAATTGTGTGAGCATTTCACCGTCAATATCTGTGACAACCTTCTTCTGTTGTGAACGGCACCCAATATAAAAATCGTCATTGTTGACTTAAAACCTGGGCTTAACGTTGTTCATTAATCAAACAGGAATTTTAGTATAAGGTCACTTACTTTGTTTCCGCACATCATTAACTCAGGCGAGGGTTTTTATGGTGTTTATTCATCTCATGAGAAAAAACTTTGCTAATTTTGTTTGTGTTGGTTAATTAGTAAAATAGTGTTTTCAGTGATTTGTCAAACGCGTTAGGTTGTTGAATTTGATGATGAAGCAATTATGCCGTTAATGTTCCAATAAATCTTCTATTTGTGTCTGTCATCAATTAAGCTTGACTGCTTAACATTAGGTGTAGTGAAATTTATGCTGAACTGAGAGACCTGCCCTGCCTCTCTTATCCTCTCTCCCCAGCCTGCCCTGCCACCCCTACTCTCTCTCCACCTCTCGCTCTGCCTCCCCTAGCCTCTCTCCCCCATCTAGCTCTGCCTCCCCTACTCTCTCCCCCATCTCGCTCTGCCTCTCCTAGCCTCTCTCCCCATCTCGCCCTGCCTCCCCTACTCTCTCCCCCATCTCGCTCTGCCTCCCCTATCCTCTCTCCCCATCACGCTCTGCCTCCCCTATCCTCTTTTCCCATCAGCTCTGCCTCCCCTACTCTCCCCCATCAGCTCTGCCACTCCCTATCCTCTCCCCCTCGGCTCTGCTCCCTATCCTCTTTTCCGCCCGCTCTGCCTCCCCTACTCTCTCCCCATCTCGCTCTGCCTCCCCTACCCTCTCCCCCATCTCGCTCTGCCTCCCCTATCCTCTCTCCCCATCACGCTCTGCCTCCCCTATCCTCTCTTGCCATCACGCTCTGCCTCCCCTACTCTCTCCCCATCTCGCTCTGCCTCCCCTACCCTCTCCCCCATCTCGCTCTGCCTCCCCTATCCTCTATACCCCGTCACCCTGCCTCCATTATCCTCTCTTCCCATCTCACCCTACCTCCATTATCCTCTCTTCCCATCTCGCCCTACCTCCATTATACTTTCTCCCCCAGCCTCCTTTCCCATCCTGCCGTGTGACCCTTATCCTCCCTCCCCCATCCTGCCATGCCCCCCTATTCTCCTTATTCTCATTCATTTTGCGATGTCTCCTTATCCTGTCCTGTCCTCCCCATTTAAACCTGTATCCCTTATTTATTCAAACCGATCTTCCTTACCCTTTCACCTTTATTTTATCCCGCCCCCTCTCCACCCTCCCAACCGTATCTCCTTCAGTGTCCCAGTTACTTACCTATTCCTCTCTTTGTTTTTATAATGTGTAAGCCAGCAGGGTCCTCATCAAGCTACTTTGTAAATGTCTTTATTGTCAAATTTCTCCCTTCATATTATTGTAAAGCACTGCGGAATATGTTGGTGCTATTTAAATACTACTAATTATAATACTTTGTGTCCTTTATCTGCCCTGTCCCAAGTCTTGCCCAGACTTTCTGCTTCTCTCACATTCTCTCCTTTAGGTATTCTCGATTCTTCAATAATTCTGCTTTTTTACCCCAGCAGTTACCTTCTTTTATCATCGATCTCTCTCTGCATGGTAAGACGTTGCTTTTCCCCATTAGTCTAAAATACAAAGATGAAACCTGAATCATGAATTTTCAGTTCCTGCGCTCTCCAAATCCATGATGGCAGCGAGTTCAACCGCCGACATTTCTCTTCACTCCTTCCTGTGTAAACTTCAGAAACCAGTTTTTAACCAATTCTAAAAAAATAAAATTCAATTAAAAAAAAAAAAAAAAACACAATCTATTTCCAATAAACTCATTATGGATAAAAAGACACCACCAGACCACCACTTTTTTTTTGGTAACATTTATATTTATATATATAAAAAATTAAATATATATCATATATCGTGTTTAAGACTAAAAAATATAGTACATAATATTTCAAAATAAAAGGAGAAAATAAAACAATTTAACAAAAATAAGTGAGCATTATACAAGGAATGGTGAAACACAAAATTTCTATTATTCTACAAGGGTGAATGTTAAAATAAAAAATAATACGTTTTGTTGAGTTTAATATACCCATTGATGCGTCAATCAGTAATTGTCTTCTTCAGGTGTGTGTTAACAAGGCTTATAGGGCTTATGTGTTCACTGGTTCTAACACAGACTCCAAGCCAGTTCGATATCATGGAAAATGTGTAATTTTCTGGTGCAAGACAAACATTTTGCAGCATAGTACCATAGACACCCTTTTTGTGGTGGTAAATGCTATGAGATCACACTAAACACCATTCCCACTATTATGGGGGTTCGAAGTAACATTATGTATGTCCGTTGTTCCGGTACCATTCTAAAAAGATGCTTTTTGCTGACGTTACATTTCAAGAAAAGGGTTGGATACTACAAATTCCTATCTAGACTTTCTTACGCGACTTCTGTACCGCAAAGGATGGATAGTTCCATTGGTTCATACCCATTTCCACATTTGAGATCAGAGATCTAGTAAACAGCCAACATTTGGATTTTGTCATTGTGTAATGTGAGCGAGAATCATGAAGCTCATTGGTTTATTGGAAAGTTAGACCCACATTTTAAAGACATTTGTTTGTTCAAAAGTTAATACAGAGTCTGAACACAACACCCCAATATATGCATCAAAATAGTTTCGGGACCGCTAAAAAAAAAAATACAAGAATCGGTATCCCTTTGGGCATACAGTGAAACATATCTGTGTGAACAAGTTAGCAAGATGACCTATGACTCAGAGGCCTAACGCTATCTATACTTGTAGAATCTCTGCCCTAATTTGGATTGTGTCTAAGATCAGACATATCGATTTCAAAGGCCTCTATTATATGTTAGTTGTTCCTTCCACCCATGGATTTGATTTGAGGATGCAAGCAGAATGTATAAAGCACACAATGACTTGCATGACATTCCCTGGACTTTGAATAAGTGGGTCAATCAAACATTCTAAAACTTTTTCACTAGGATGTTATCTACACCGTTACAGGAAGGATATTCCATGTATCTACAACACCTTCTGTTTGTTTCTGGTAACCCGTACCCAGCAGTTGGCTTTGTTAAATCTAATGATTTGTTGCCATTTTGGTTCTCAACTGGTTAAGTTTACGAGCAAGATCCAGTAGAAGGAAGATAAAACCCCAGTTTTATGCTGACAATTCAGACCAGCTTAATGGTCATTTAGAGAAATGCTGACCATTTAATACCTATCGCAGGCAGGAGATTTCCCCGGAGTCCTTTCGATGGCTGTGTAATTAGAATTCAACACTAAATACACTTTACGCAGGATGTAATAAGCTATAGGAAGATTCTATTAAGTGCCGGTGTAATTATGTTTTCTACAACTCTCAACGTCACACAGCGCCAAAGGGGGACTCAAAATGCATTTTTCCATGACATACAATGAGAATTAGATTTGGATCAGGATTTCTAATTGCCAAAATGATTCAAATAAACAGCCTATGCTCAAATTATACATATATCCCATTCATCTGAACTAGGCTGAAACATTAATGCAAAAATACATCTGTTCCCAATTCTTTAGGAAAGAAAGCAATGCACTAAATCCCACAGGGACTCTGTGACCTCGTTCTTCGTTTATCCACTGTTCCCAAGCCACGTTAGTTTTTTTTATGCCTCTCCAAGTATAGCACTGCCCCACCAATACTACCACAGTTACGGTTTTGAAGCAGAACAGGATTAACCATAAGGGCACAGAGGTTAGACATGGACACTGGAACCATGAATTTCATTGGCCTCATTCTAGATACCCGTCGGTAACTTGCCCAAGGCCCTGTGCGATCTTAATCCTTCTCTGTTGGACAGTCCTCTTAGGATGTGAAAAGCCATGTACAAACTCTACCACCAATTTAAGGTCAGGTCTCTGGTATATGGCATGTATCCAATACAAAATTAAACGGACACTTGGCTTTAAAGAAATCCAGGTTACTGAAGGATGTTAAAATGAGAGTTTGGTAGTTGGTAAAGATTACTTGTTTTTTGGTCTACCCATATCTGCATTTATGTAGATTATTTCTCGATTGTGAATTATCTCTCCTCCATTGTCTAAAAGCTGGGTGGAAAGATTTGATATACCACAAATGCATTTGTTGTTTTGTGATCCATAATCCCAGGCACTTAGATCCATCATTCCTTTATTTGCCTGTTCGACTATTTTCTTGGTCTAATATATGCAAACAAGACTCATGAGCTTGTCTCTGGGTGATTTAATTATCTGTAACCAATTCAGTTGTGTAGGGACATTAAGGGGGATCTATAATGCGGTGTAGAAATTCTGCAGAGGCCTGGGAAATTAATTGCAGGGATAGTTCTAATGGTTAAATGCAGAGATATGATTCTGTCATAATGTGGATAGCGAATCACAGAAAATTCATCTCATTTCTGGGTCTTAAAGGGATATTTATTTTAGTATCTTTATTTTAGTGAGGTAGTATTTTGAAAAGCAGTACATGCTAACAAGTGAAACAGAAAGGGCAGTAGATACATGGAATGGCCTCATTGGGAAACAGTGATATAGAAATGGTAGTACATACCCGGAGTAACCTTCCAGTAGAAGCAGCAAATTAGTTTATCTGCTGTCCCAAGTTATCACAATTTTCTACATTTTCAAAGCATCAAAGTTTCAAAATTGGAGAATGGATCCTTGACTTGTTCTAAGGCCTGTGGTCAATCATTGACCTATAAAACACATAAAGCCCACCTTAAACTGTCTGATCATGGGAATACTGCAGGATAATAATTCCATGTTTTATACATGTTGGTAAGAGATGTTTATGGGGCTCAACACCTCTTATTGTACTTGTACATCTTTCAAAACATCAGAATGTGAGAAAATGGGTAAAAACATTCATTGCAACATCTGCATTTAGTTTGGAATCTCGTGATTGTTCTCTGCCCTTTAAGGCTTACACCAACTCCTTAAAAACGTTTTAATTCTATAAAAACTCAAGTAGCAAATTCAAAATCAATAAATATTTTATCGTGGGTTCTCTTACATATGGATAATCTAGGAAACGTCCCCATTTCTTCAAACCCATAGACCGCCATGTTTGGAGGGTAAAAAAATCAATGAGTGCAAGACAATTTAATTTTCAGTTTCTTGTATTTTGAACACATCACATTTGTTTTATACCAGGATCACAATTCTCTTTGGACATCAGACTCTTCTACATCTTGATATTTGGCAAAGCGTTAGTCAATAACGTCAAATAACGCCTGTGATAAATACCAAGCAAAACCCATTTAAGGCTGATTAATGACTATTTACCAATATGGCCCACAAACTGTTCTAGATTATTTTAGTCCCTCTACGTTTTTAAGCAGGTAGATGTCACAAAGTCACATATTTCTACAAAACCCAATTCCTTAAACTTGACAGCCAAGTATGATGATTGAAAGAAGGTCCCTCCCAGATTTAAACTGGCTCCACACAATAACGAGTGTGGTTAGAGAAACACGTAACATAAAAACGATACTTTCATTTCTAGGGACTGAGTGACATTTCAACGTTTGTCATTTGAGAAAAAGAATGGACAACCATTTCTACTCCAGCTGTTCTTACACTACAATTTCCATCAATCTATGTTTTCATACCTCCCTCTACTGGGAAATTTGGAAGATGACCGGGTCGAAGACAGGGTAATGCAACTGTCAATGACCTTGGAACAACCTTGAGAGTCTTTAAATGGGCTTAAGTACATTTCCTGGCATCCCCAGAAGAACGACAAAAAACATGGGATGTTGGAGCAAGTAGCCCAAATTGGGACTATACCAGCAGCCCCGGGACTTTAACGAGACATATGTTTTATAGTCTAAGAACAGCTACAGTTTTGCATTCTTTATCTACAGATTGTTTGTTAATCTACAAGCAATTTGCTTTTCTAAAACAGACATGGAATAGAAGAAAATGTCACTCTCCTCAAATTTCCAGGAAGCAAAAGGGCTTTGGCAAACATAAAAAAAGTGAGGAACAAGAAGTCTCAATTTTAAATTCTTTTGACTCACTGAGCAATAATCGAAATCTAGGCAAAAAAAAAAAAAAAATAATAAAAAAATTTCTTCTTGGCATCAAGAAACGTCAAAAAAATAATAATTGTGCTCATGAAAAAAATAGATCATAATACTGCTAATGATGCGCGTGTATGAGATTCGCGGCTTACAATATATATCAAAAAATAGATATGTATATTTACACACATACTGTACAAAAATGATTGCG